AAAACATTGTAGGACTTGAGAGCTGTTAATAATCAAAACTGGTATGGATATCTTTTACATTTTGTCATCTTCAGAGTAGTTGCCTCTACTTTTAGACTTGATACTATGAAGCATACTAAATTTGAATAAAATCAGCCAAGGCAAAACTGCGATCTAACAAATCAGATTCAAATAAGATCAGTCATAGTAATACAATGTAAGTAATATAGGGTTTCAGTTTAAGTTAATAGGAAATTAAGCATAGTTACCATGGTATAACCTGCTATTTTTGGGTTAGATGTCTGTGCCCTCAAATCTGATATGAGTGGACAGACCGGAACAAAATAAATTCAAACTAAACAGAGTGATAAGGCTACTGTGTGTTTTAAATCCTGATACACCATTAATAATGACCTCTGCCTTTTTTTTAGTGTATCAAGGCTACCTATATTAAACATTATAGCTTACTGTCTCTGCTTCATGTCTGCTACTCCACTTTACTGCTATAATTTGTCCATCTTACTCTCTCATTCCACTGTCTGCCCTGTTCATTGAGGCCTCTCTGCCACTGTTGCTGGAATCCTGGTATCCATTCCTCTCTCTCTGTGGAATGTCCTTCAGCACTCTCTGTAAGGTTGGGTTGGTGGCTATGAGCTCCCACAGTTCCTCCTTGTTTTGGAAACATCTTATTTCTCCATTAATTTTGAGAGAGAGTTTTTCTGGGTATATCAGTCTTGGTTGCAATTTATTTTCTTTCAGGGCTTGGATAATTTCTCCCCTGGCTCTTCTCAATTTGAGAGTTAGTGTTGAGAAGTCTATTGTTATTTTGATAATTTTTCCATTGTAGGTAATCTACTTCTTTTCCCTGGCTGCTTTTAGTATTCTGTTCTTTTTGTGGATTTCTGGAATCTTGATTATTATATGTCCGGTGTAGATCTGTTTTGGTGGTAGGTGGCTGGAGTTCTGTATGCCTCATTTATCTGGATATCATTTCTTTTTCCTATACTTGGGAAGTTTTCCTTTAATATATCTGTGAATATTCTTTTAGCTCATTTTTGGTTACTCCTGCTTCCTCATTCATGTACTTTATTCTTAAGTTATGTATCCTTTTGTTGTCTTCTAGGCTTTGAATTGTTTCTTTCTGGTTCCTCATTATTTTTAAGAGGTATTTTTTTCATGATCATATATCATAAATCTCTCCTCAAGTTTCAAAAGGCTAACTTTAGTTCCTGTCAAGGCATTTTGCCAGTTTTCAATGTAGTTTTTAGTTTCCTGGTAATCTCTTTGGATCTGTTTCATGTATTTTAGGTTATGTTTAAATTCTTCATCAGAGGTGTCTCTTTCTTTTCTGATTTCTTCCATTCTTTCATCAGTGTTCTCTTGGGAGGGGCTTATCATTTCTTTAATTAATCTCTTTATATCTTGCCTCACTTGGATCAGAAGTACAGTTTTAAATTTGTCTACGTGGTCGTGAAAGTATTTCTTTATATCGGCTGATGCTGTGACTAGTATTGGACGGTTACTATGCTGGTTCTCTTCTGCATTTACTTCTCCTGGGATTATTTTCCCAGGTTTGGCAGCTGGAGATTTTTAAAATTTTCTGTCTCTTGTCATGTTTCTGGTTTCTTTCAGACTGGTGTGTCCTGTGGGTCTCTGGCCCTCTCCATATTGCTTAGGGTCTTTCCAAAGCATGCTGACTGGAGTTTTTGCTGCCCTCCCCAATTTGCTGTTATCTGAGGTAGGCAGGGATGCCGGGACAGTGCAGGCTATCCTCCAGCCTCTGTGCCAGTCAACCCACAAGTTAGGCAGTACCTTGTGGACATCACAGAGTCATGATAATTTTGTATCTGCTTATTGGGTCCCAAACAGAGGCTTGATTCAGCCCCATCAGATCCTGCCAGTTCTCTCTGTGCCAGGAGTGGCTAAGTGATGTCACTGCAGTGCAGGGCTATGCTCAACTCCAAGCTGTCCTCTACCAGACCTCTCTGCACCAGGGACAACTATCTGACGTCACCGCCGTGCCAGTCTCTGCCTAATTCCAAGATGTCCTCCACCAGACCTCTCTGCACCAGGGGCAACTATCTGATATTACCACAGCCCCAGGCTCTGCCTAACTCCAAGATGTCCTCCACCAATGCTCTCTGTGTCACTGATGCTGCTGTGGCACCAGGCTCTGCTGAATTCCAAGATGTCCTGCAGCCAGCAATAGCAGCCTCAGGACCCAGTCCCTAGTACTCACCAGGAGTCAATGCAGATCTTCTTCTTGGGTTCACTGTACACTGCGCTGTGTGTCTTCATTGTGTTCCCAGCACAGCATGGATTGGTCAGAAAACTGCGTGGTATCTGGCTTTGGAGCCCCAGAGCCTCTTGCAGTCTCCTCCGGCATGGCCAGGTGGCTTTGGCTGCTTGGCAGGGCCTCAGGTCTTAATTTCTAGCAGTCGCTGAGAGCCAATACAGCTTTTCCCCTTGGATCCACTGCTCACTGTGCCTTGTCTTCCCATTAAGGGTCCGGATTTGCAGACTCCCGTCATTGGCAGCCGTGGTCTCAGCACAACCTTAGATCCTCCCAGTGTGCCTAGTACAGTGCAGAACGGGGCTCAGTGAGCACATCGGGCCTCAGCTCTCCACCTGCGCTTTTCCTTCCTCTTCCTAGTTTTATTTTTCCCTTCAGTTACTGCCTTGGTTAATAAGAATTGCTATCCATTAGTCTGTCCCTCTCCATGTTGTCATATTCTAGCATCTGATCTTGGGAGTGATGATCTTAACACAGTCTCCTGTGCTTTGGATGGGGAGTGGACTCACCCCAGCCACCAGCTGAGTTTCCTGGTTCCAGAGAAGGTCCGGTACAGGTCTCCCTTTAACCTGGTCTTAAAAATCCCTAGAATGAGTCCTGCAACTCCTGTCCTGGGTCCAGGCCACCTAACGCCACTGCTGCCAGGTCCACTGGCCTCCTCTGTACTCTCAGATAACTCATTTTTAGTCTGCAGAAATAAGACCAATTTTTGTAAGCTAATTTTGTATACTGCAGCTTTATGCAGAGATTTATTCAACACTTCCAACAGTTGTTTTGGAGTCTAGGATTTTTAAAAATATATAAGACCATTTTATCTTCAAACAGATAATTTTACTTTTTTCCTTTTCAATTTGGATAATGTTTCTTTTTCTTGCGAATTGCTCTGGCTACGACCTCAAGTTCTCCACTGAGTAAAAGTGATGAGAGGACTTCCTTTGTATTTCTATGGTCTGTTGTCCTCTCTTTCATTTGTAATTTTCTTTGAGTCTTCACTTTCTGTGTGTCTCTCACCCTTGCCAGAGTTTTGTAAATGTTTTTGCCTTTTCAAAAACCAACTGTTTAAATGATATTTTCTGTTTTTGTAGTCTCGATTTCATTTATTTCTGCTCTAAGGTTTATCTTTTCCTTTTTCTTGCTAATTTTCAACTTTGTTAATTTTAAAAATTTTCATTTTATATGTTTCAAGTTCTTTTTCCTAATTTTGGGCTTATTCTTTTCTTCTGGTGGTGTAATATTAGGTTGCTTATTTTTAATTCCTTAATTTTGGGTATTGGCTATTTTGTCTAAGCAATGAGAGAAAAGTAACTAAGACAAAGGCAACCTGTTACCAGCACCTGCAACTCTTTCTGCTTACCTCACTCTGCATATTACAGACGTATTACAGTGCCTCCTGCCTAGCCCAGCCCACAGTTTTCCCAGTCACTCCTCCCCAACCAATCCCCTCTCCCAAAATTAATAAAACCTGGGTTTGGCCCTGGATTGTGGTGGCCTTTGTTCTATTAGCCATTGTTCCAACTTGCTTCAGGACCCCTAGGCTCCCCACAACTGCAGATATGTCTGCACCTCTTTATTTTCACTGTGGATTTCATTGGATGTGGTAGGCTGGAATTTACTTACTAGAATTCCAATAACTTTTCCTGGGGATTACAAATATTAACTCTTCTGGACCCTCTATATGTTTCAAAATTCTTTCCCAGTCTTTTCAGTGCTAAAAATGTGACTGTAATGTATTTCAGTAGAACCTATGTATATTTAATCTTTATCAAATAGACAAAACCTATATGGGCTCTTTGCAATCCACAGATCTAGATTTTCATTTAGATTTCCACATTTGGGATGTTTTTCATCACTGTTTCTTTTTCTTTGCAAAGCTGAGATTCAAGCCCAGGATTGTATGCATACTAGGCAAAGTACTTTACCTCCCTTTCCTCTTTCTCTGTTCCTTCTGGACACTAAAATGCATTTGCTGGTTCACAGATGGCATCACAGAAGTCCTGCCTGGGATCTTCACTCTTTTCCTTGTAGTCCTCTGATGAGGAATTCTAATTGATCTCTCGGAACCACTTCTTCTTCTGATAGATTGGAGGTGCTGTTAAAGCTATCTCTGGGATTTTTTTTTACTTCAGTTATTTGCTTCTTCTGCTCCAGAATTGTTTGATTCTTTTTTCATGATTTTTATCTCTTTGTGGGACTCATAATTTTGTTCATTCATTGTTTTCCTGATTTAGTTTAGTTACATATTTGTGTTTTCTTGTCATTCAGTGGTTTAAAAGAATTTCTCTTAATTTTTTTCAGGCAATTTGTAGATTTCTATTTCTTTAGAGTCATTTCTTGGCACATTATTTTGTTCCTTGACTATGTGGCCTTGACTATGCTCATGCTGCCTGTTACACAGCCTGCTACCCTCCCTCAGCTAGCCTTGACTGTCTGCATCCAGCAGCCTCTCCCAGATAACACCTGACCTCATCCAGCAGTAATGTCTCTGTGTTTTCTTACCTAAAAATCTATGTAGTTTTTCCAACTTGCTTCAAGGACTTCATGTCTGGAGCAGACTGTCCCAGCCAAGGACACATTTAACTCTGCCCACTCTGCTCAAACCCCCTCCCCTTCCCAGAATGTTCTGGCTTCTGCTTGACAACATGTGATCAATCATGTAATAATCTGCTGTCAGCCTTGTATTTCCTGCTTGCAAAACATATTTAAACTGAACTCTAAGCTGACTCTGGCTGATTTGGACTCAGACTCAGTCTCCCAGCCCATTAGCGTCAAGATAAAGTTGCCTTCCAGACTCTTTGGTACAGTCTTCCATTTGATTTGATATTGGTTTTCTGCAACAGTATCAGGGCATTTGAAGAAGCAGAAGCCTCTTACAGTCTTGGGCTTGAGCAGAGAATTCTTTTCATCACTGAGCCTGTCTGGAAATTCTAGGGGGGCCAGCAGGTGGGTTTTGTGAGTTGACTTTCTGCTGGAGTTCTTGGGTGGGTGTAGTGTCTGGGTCTGTGACTGTGGGCTTGGAGCCTAGTTTGATGCTGTGGTCCTAGATCCTGAGTCTTCAGGGGTTGGTATGATTCTGGGGGCCCTGGGGTGAACTTGATGAATGACTCTGTGGGGGTGGGCCTTGATGCGGCACACACAGAGGCTGGTCCAGGGTCATCTAGTGCCCAGTCCCATAACCTGGCACTGAGGGGATTCTAGAGTGTGGGAAGGGGGTCTTCAGGGACTGGGTTGGAGGCTAGAATGGTCCTGGAGTCTGGGGCCACATGGGCTGGCTCACTGCTGGGGCAGGCTGGAACCTGGGCCTGTGTGGCTGAGCTGGCCCTGGGGTTACTTGGAGGGCCTGGCTGGGGTCCATGGTGAAGTTAGGAGCCCCTTCATTCTCCTCGCACCCTGCAGAGGGTTCTGTCTTCACACTGGGCTGTGTGGACTTCAGGGAGGACTGCTTGGGCGGTGTGAGACAGTGCTTCCCAGTCTGTGTGCTTGTATCTGTGTTCCACTCGGGCGTCTAACAAGGTGCTTTTATGCATTTGTTCTCCATATTGATGTTCAACTGGGATCCCCCGACTTGCTGATGTCACACAGCTGTGTTGGAAATGATTAATAATGATCTACTAGAGTGGAATGTGAGCGAACCATGTGCCTGACTGGACGAGGGTCTTCTTTGAGAGCCTCTCTCTTCTTCTTTCCTCCCTCCTCCCCTCTCTTCTCTTCTTCTTTCCTTCTTTTCTTTCTCTCACTTCTCATTGAAATACCTTTATGGAATTTACTGAACTCGCCAAGTGGACCATGACATGGCCAGGTCACTGAGTATAGCCACTCAGCTTGTGATGCTGGGTCCAGAGAAGCTTTTCATTTTCCCTTCCAGTGAAAAGAAAAACATGATTTTTCATTGTTACTAAAGAAAATCTCTTAAATTGAGAAGTGAGAAGGAAAAATAGAAAGTATTTTTCCACTTCAATTTGTATTTCTAATGGGGAAAAACCAACTTTAACAAAGGCCCTTTCCTTCTTCCAACAAGTGAGTCTCCATATTTATGTAAATTACATTTGTATAATGGGATTTGTTCTACAAATTCTCTTACAGTCTGTATTTTGATTTTTCTCATTTGTAGAATGCTGTTGAAGAAATGAAGTTACTGCTATATGCAAGATGAAGGCACTGAGGTTTATATAACAATACTATAGATGTGTATCACTGACAAATCCGGAGCAGACAGTAAATACATGGGTTTAATGGAGACTTGGAAATAAAAAAGAGTTTAAATTCTATCACAGTAAAGCTGTTTATCTTTGTAGTGCTCATTTTTAAAATGTATTTTAAAAAACTAAGGTTTTATTCCATGTTGGCATTGTTAGAAGCCATTGATTTTAGACTTCGGTCTCTGTTTACCTTACTGAATGTTGTATTATCTGAAACAGTGCTTCTGTTATAATATATGAAATGATTACATTAGAATAATGCAGAACTAAATATTTTGCTAATAGTGAAATAAATCAATCTCACATGTGTGAATACCGAATAGTTTCCCTAATGTAAGTAATGATTCAAATATATAAAAATATGTGGTAATCATGATTCCCCATTATGTGGCCTTGAAGCCTTATAAAGTTTTCACTTATTAATTAGAAAGGCTTTATTCTGGGCTTCTGATATGGAAATATTTGAAGCTATAGTATATGAAGTTTTATTCAAATATTTCAAGGAAAAAGACAGACACTATGGTAACTACTATTAAGTCGGGTTATTTGGTGATGAAGCACGAGGTTGCTGAAACAGTCATGCTTTGGCCTGTATTGTTATATTGTTATGTCCTGTTTTAACTCAATCTCTCCCTTATTATTTTTTTTTAATTTTATTTAAGGAGAAAAGAAAAAAAAAAGCAGAGAAAGGGTACAAATTATACAGATTTGCAGAAAAAAAATGAACAGTAGGAAATCACTAGTTAATGGATTACATATTGTCATCTTAGAAATAATTGTTCAAGTCACAAAATTAAAGCTTGTAAAGTGGACATTCCATCAATGATACTGCAAACAGTTCTGTTCAATGATCCAATAAAACTCTGTGATATCATTTTCTATCTTATACACTTAAATATACATGCAGTTATATAGTTTAGAGCACTTTCTTTTCCTCTCTTTTGTACCATGACTATTACACATTTTGGGTTTCATTGCTCCCACGGTTCTTATTACTTTTTTGGAAGAGAGTAAAACCAAATGTGACATAACAGAACAGAATCAGTCAAGTCAAAAGGGTGGACATAATAGATAATATAAAAACATAATACAAGGTGATCAACAATGGTTACCATAATGCCTCCCGCTATCTCTAATAGAATTGCCTATATCGTTAGTTATAATACAATTGAACAGAACAGTAAAGAATAAAACCGACAAAACCAAAACATTGGAGACATTGTAGGTCTTCAAAAGTAGATAAAAGTCAACGAGAATGGGCGTTATAATGAATCTCATTATCTTCACAGCTGATGCCTAAATTTTCGAACCTGATACTATCCAGCAAAACAGAATAGGGGAACATCAGTTAAAAACCAGATGGTGAGAGTAATACAGGGCTTTAAATCGAGGTAATGGAAAGTCAAAGTGGGTTACTATAATATATCCTGCTATTTTTTTTCTTTAATTAAAAGGATAAAAATAAAAAAGTAAATAATGGAGTGGAGATTGAGATAAAAGAGGGCATAACAACGAAACAGCACAGATCAAAACATAACCATTTAAGCAGAATAGTGTTTCACCACCAGATAATCCTGACATAAAAGTAGTTACCATATTGTCTCTTTCCTTGAAATCCTTGAGTACAACTTCATATACTGTAGCATTAAGTATACCAAAACAATGTAAAACCATTTAAGAGAATGACAACATTATAGAGTATTTAGAATCGACTAACAGAAAATGAACAATGGTTTCTGTATAATCTCCTTGTCTTTAAAAGGTTTTTGCTTATACTATCATACATAATAAAATTCAATAAGATACAACCTATTTAGACAATTGGAGACAGAAGAACAAAAGCTAGATGAGACTTCAGAACAAGATGATACTAAATCAGTATTACCTATTAAGATGTCATTTTCTCCAAAATAGCTGTTCCTATCATCCAATCTTCTCTGTCTCATTTCTGTTGAGCTCTTTTTCTGTCAGTAGCTGTCAGTTTGTCTTCTTCATTTTGTTCTCTGCTCCATTCGTTGTGGCCTCCCCGCCACTATTTCTGGGTTCTTTGTATTTTTCTTTTTTTAGAATATCCTGCAATACTCTCTGTAGAGTTGAATTGGTGGTTGCAAATTCCCCCAGTTCCTCTTTATCCTGGAAGCACCTTGTTTTTCTGTCAATTTCCAGGGACAGTTGTGCAGGATATCTCAATCGTGGCTGGAGATTATTATCTTTCAAAGCTTGAATTATTTTCCCCCACGCTCTTCGTGATTTGATGGTTTGTGCAGAGAAATCTGCTGTAATTCTGATGGGTGTTCCCTTGTAAGTGGTCTGTTTCTTGTCTCTGACAGATTTTAATATTCTGTTCTTGTATTGAATTTCTGGAATTTTTATTATTATATGCCTGGGTGTTGCTCTGTTTGGGTTGTAGGTGGCTGGGGTCCTGTATGCCTCATACATCTGAGTATCTTTACCTTTTGCTAAATTAGGAAAATTCTCCTGGATTATTTCTGTGAGTAGCTTTTGTAGTTCACTTGTTTGTGTCCCTACTTCTTCTTTTATGTTCTTAATCCTTAAGTTATGGCTCCTCTTATCATCTTCTTGTCTTTGTGTTATTGCTGTTTGTTTCTTTGTTATTTTTAAGAAGTTTTTCATTTCATTCTCCCATATTACAAGTCTGCCCTCCAGTTCAGATAATCTGTCCTTAGTTTCTTTCAAGCTGTTATGCCAGTCTTGGATAGACTTCTTAATTTCTTGATAGTCCCTTTGAACCTGCTTCACGTACTCTATGCTTTCTCTGTTTTCTCCATCAAACAATTCTCCCCTCTTTTTCTGTTCTTCCATTCCACCATCTGTTTTTTCCTGGGTGGTTCTTAGCATTTCTCTAACTATTCTGCATACTTCTAGCTTCAGGTCATTGATAACTTCATTCCTGAATTGGTCTATGAGACTTTCTATATGGTGCTTTATGTCTATTGGTGCGGTGTCCGCTATTGCCTGTTTCTCAGAATTGGGGGCCGAGGAGCCTTTCTTGTTGCTGCCTTTTCCCATATTCTCTGTTCCTTATATATATGCAAGCTTACATAGGAGGCCCAGCTTCCCTGCCTGTCAGCCACAGCCTGATGGAATTGTGCTGGCTAGGTGTTCCCGCCCACCGCTGCGCACCAAGGAGTTTCGGACGAGGCAGCCTACGCAGGAGTCTCCCCCCTGGGCCACCGTCAGGCTTTGGGATCTGGGTTGGGCTAGCCTACCGAGTCCGCCAGCAGCGTCCTGCAGGCCAGGCACTTTTCACCAATCCCGTCCGAGAGGGGAATGTGTGGCTGGAGTCGCCACCGCGCCCTGCTCCCGCAGGACTGCCCCAGCCCAGAAAGTTCTCCGCTGGAGTCAAACTGTGGTAGAGTGTCAGTTTCTCTCACTCACCTCACCACAAGTCAGTGCACGCCTCCCTGTCCATCCTGTTTTCGACTCCATTCGCAGACTCCCGTTCACAGAGCTTCTGCGCGTCTCTCTCCTTGCCGAGCTGATGTAGAGGTAGCCAGCCGCCAAGCGGCGGGAAACCCAAATCGCGGCTTCCAATGGCGTGGGGTCCAGCCTCCACACCGTGTCTTTTCTGTTCCTATTTTAGCGCCAGGACTGCATTCCAAGTTGGTTTCTCTCAGCCCAGTTCGTTCCTGAGTCAGTAGAGCATATCTCTACCGCCTTATGTCTCCTTAGTTCGCACCATTCCTGACTTGTGATCCGAGCCTTTCAGAGAGCCTCCAGTAGTTGCTGTTATTTGTCCGCCATGTTCTCCTGGAAGTCTCTCCCTTGTTCTTCAAAAAAATTATTTAGTTATTTCTTATGTTTGTTTTAATTAAGGGGAAAAATTAAAAAAATTACCAGGAGGTATAATAGTAACTTATTTTGATTTCCTATTAACTTGTTTTGAAGTCCTGTAATACTCCCACGATTGTGTTTTGACTGATTAGACTCTGTTTCATTCTGTATGATAGTATCAAGTTTGAGGATATAGGCAACTACTTTGAAGGCAATAAGATTCACTCAATGCCCATTCTGGTTTGACTATTGTCTCCTTTGGAAGTCCTGTAATGTTTATAATGCCTAAGTTTTATTGGTCTTGTTCTCTACTGTTTTGTCCCACTTTATAATATCTAATGAGATAGACAATTCTTTTTAAGGAAACAAGAGACAACGTTGATAACCATTGTTGATAACCTTGTACTCTGTTCTACATCATGTGCTATGTCTATCCTTGGTTTTGACTGACAGCTTTGTTTTGCCATATTTGACTTTATTCTCCCCAAAGTAATAAGAACTAAGGAGTAATAAAATCCAAAAAAAATTTTGCTTACTACTAATCATACTCTCTTATTTATATCACATTCCTTTTTCCTTTGATTAAGGCAAAAATGCTTAAATATCTCTTTTGTTTTCTTAACTGTTTGAAGAATTAGGTAGATTTGAACTCTCATCACTGTGGAATGGAGAGTTAAGACTCTCAAAATGTTGTTAGCACAACTCTGAGTTAGGATGCAATAAATTTTCATTGTACTTTATGGTAGCCAGAAGAGTAAGAGAAAAAAGAAAAAAAATCAAATCTAATCTCTGTGAATGTCAGAGTTCACAGCAGAAATCCACTAAAAGCAGTTTAAGCAGTTCTCCTCTTGTGGTCATTTGACTTCCTGTGATTTAAACTTTGTTTTTTCTATAAATAGAACCCTAGGGAACACATTTAAAACACTCTACCACAAAATTTAAAATAATCTTGATGGGTAAAAATTGATCTGCTAAGACCTGGCATCAACTACTTAAAACTGTAATGTGAGTGGTGAGTCCCAGTGGCTGTAGTTTTAAAAATATTGTGAACATGTATTTAAAAATGAGTAGGTTTTGACAGAAAGTCCTTTCCTACCACATGGATGGGTGGGTGGGGTGGAACACGTGTCTGGACCTGGTGGCTTCTTTCTAGCATAACCATGTTGCCTCTGGGCATCTGTTCAGAATGGATGCTTGTTAGGTGTTCATTTTTGGAATTAAAGAGAACCCTGTAAATCTCTGGGGTGAAACTGTCCTCACAATATAAGT